AACGAGAGAAAACGAGAGAAAATGAAAACATTATATTCATTCATTATGATATGAACGATCATTCTCATATCAAGCCGCCAAATTATACAAAAGTTACAGTGATTATATGAAACTTGAGTCTCTGATATCCTTCAGAATTAAGCTCAAGAACATCATTTTCGGCAGGCAGTGATTCATTCATGATCCATGATCTCTTCTCTTCGAGCCACAAAAACGGTTATCATTATTATTACTATTGTCACTATTGCTATCGTTAGTATTGTTTATTATCATTATTTTTATCATTATTGGTAATACTGCTATTACTACAGGTATTTTCATTATCATTAATGCGTTATTATTGTTATTATTATTAATATTATGAATGATGTATACAAGAATGTACTCGATATTTTTAACCTGGTTGAGTGGAAGAGTAGCATTGCTAAACTCCGCCAGGATAAATAAAGGCAATTTATTATTATTATTATTATTATTATTATTATTATTATTATTATTATAAAATGCTCCCAGTAGCTAAACATGACGTTATTTTCAATGGATTCAATGGATGTTCATGGATTATCCTCACCAACGCAAATATGATACTCAATAATTTTTTGCCTCACTTTGATGTTTCTTGTTAGAATTCATTATTATGCTTGTGTTCAAGCTCGAACATTTTGGAGTTCGGGGTGACCTCTTGAAGTGGATAGATGGATTCCTCAGCAACAGGAGGTTCAGAGTCAGAGTTGGTTCTTCATTCTCAAATTACCACGATGTTCTATCAGGGGTGCCACAGGGATCTGTCCTTGGACCGACGTTGTTCCTATTATATGCCCCTGACTTACAGAATGCTCTTTGGAACATTCGTTTTTCGTCGATGACAGTATTTTTTTTTTTTGAAACCAGCTACCATCAGTCGTTCTCAGCTCCAAACCGATCTCGCTTCGCTAGAACAATGGTGCTCCGACTGGGACATCCCCTTGAATGACAGCGAATGTTGTGTACTACATCTTGGCAATAAGAATCCATTCCACAAATACCGTTCATTCAACAATATAGTGCCGTCCGTGGACGAGCAACGTGTTCTAGGTATCATCATCAACAAAAAACTCTGATGGTCGGGTCATGTAACAGATATTGTACACAAAGCAAACAGTCGCATCTTTCTATTACGCAAGTGTTTCACCAATCCAAGTCCACAACTATTTGGTCAACTATACTAGAGTATGATGTTCAAATCTGGTCTTTACACCTAGTGAAAGACATACAACTCTAAAGCGGCGTTCACAACCAAACTTTTCACGTTTTGATTTTTACGTTTCGGATTCTGATTGGTGAAGCAGAATCTGAAATTAAACGTGAATTGAACCTATGCAATGTCATTCACAACAACAACAAAATCAACATGACTTTTTACGACTTTTCTCAGTTGTCTTGGTTTTGTCATTTGTGTTTCATCATGAAATGAAGTTGAATAATCATAACTCAATATCATAACAATGATATTAATTAGATAATTGATGATATTCATAGAACTGGCAGTGACGTAAATTGATAAGTAATAAATTGAACAGTATCTATACCTATCTAATATTCACGAAAAAATCATTAGTAATTTCCATTCAACAATATCATTTTCAATTTTTACTATTTCCACAGACGATGGCTTCTTTCAACGCAAAAAGCTAAATATTTTCAGCTTTCTGCGTCATTTCAATCACAGATTTTGCTTCACCAATCAGAAAATGAAACGTAAAAAGCAAAACGTAAAAAGTTTGGTTGTGAACGCCACTTTAGAGAGAACCCAACGTCTGGCAACCCGAATGGTACCCTCACTCAGGCACTTATCCTATGAAGATTCCATTTCTCAAAGACTGACGAGCCAAAGGAGATGCTATTCTGACCTACCGCATACTGCACGACACATTCTCCATCGATATGCAGCATATTTTTGAGCTGAACACGGACCCCAGGCTGAGAGGACATACAATAGAGTATTTGGTCTATGGAATTCTCTCCCAGAGGCCGTTGTGACAGCTCCAAGCATGAACAGTTTCAAAAATGGTTTCGACGCGTTCCAGTGTTCTAATTTCTGACTTTACCTATTGTGTTGATTTCCCTTATTGTCGATATTTTCCATTCTTATGTTTTTACGATACTGTAATGTGAATATAATACTTCTGGGCATAATAGGCTCTGCCTCTGCCCTTATTGTCAGTTAATAATGATAATTATTTTCTTTATTTCTTTATTTCAACAATAGGTGCAAGCAATTTTTTTGAGAATTATATTGTGTTCGAGTTCATTTTCCATTTTCAGTTTCTTATGCATTCTTTTTATTGTATGTATATATCAAAAATGATATACTACTATTCAATTTTTGGTGAGAGTGATGATAGCTTACATTGAAGAACAACTGATAAGGAGTCGATAAGTTACTCAATAGTATTGAAAGAAAATTATGAGGCAAGTTCCTTATAGTCCAGTAACTTTGTCGCCTGAACATATGGGGGTAGTATATGCGTCAAATCCGGTAGTTCTGATTTTTTGCAGACGGGTTCATGAAGATTGGCCTAATGAATGATCCAAATTTGTGACCTCGAGCACCGAACGCAACTTTGTCGCAAATCGAAAAAACCGCGAAAAAATCGTAATTTTTTTCAAATTTTGGCGATTATAACCCTGAAGGACTAGTTTATGGAAAAAATCTCTCAGGACGTTTTCAAATCAGATCAAATTTGCTACAATATGATATGAAAACTGTCTCTGTAGACCCAATGGTTTTCGAGATAAGGCCTTTGAAAGTTTATAATTTTTTTCGAACTTCGCAATTCTTTGCAATGTTTTAGGCATCACTCGAATATACTCTAGCGGGATGAAGTTTCAATTACCTACGACGGAGTGTTCTAGTACTGTTCGTGTGAAGTCACGAATGCGACCCACCTGTAGCACGTTTTCAAACTTTTTAGGCAATCTAAACAACGGGACTTTTTAGCTGACAAGATGGCGCCTGGTAGTATGGCCATCACATATAATGAGTATTGGTTTTCTCTCAGGTACCTGCTACACATCTTTTGGTTTCTCATGATTGATTCTGTTGTTAGATCCTTCCTCTTACCCTAACAACACCAGTACATCATAGGGACTTCCCATGGACGTCCCTGATTTTATACTAGGACATCCCAGGGATGTCCTTTGTCGGGACAACGTACATACTAGGGATGTCCCAGGGACATCCGCTGGCTGCTAAAAAAGGCATCCAAGGGATGTCCTTCTGGTACGTCCCTGGGATGTACCAAGTACGATTTAAGGATATCCCTAGGACGTCCCAACGATGTCCCAGGGACATCCTTTCGACAAAAGAAAAAAGTTGCAGGTCGAGTAGGGATTGAACCCGGGACCTTTGGCTTATCATGCACGCACCTTGCTCCATTGGCTATCATGCCTCCTGAAGATTTATGTACTAAACAGATTTATAAACAGGACTTAACTACAGAAACCTGAATAAATACAACTTTATTAGGAATTGGGTATAATTATTATCATTCTTGGGTGTTTAAAAATGAGGAGCATTATGCATGTACGATTTCTGTCTGCGAAAAATGGTAATTTCTTAAGAAGTTCTGAGACTTTATTCCTTATTTTCATTACAATCATTTTCCGGAAGAGAAACAAACATTTTCAAAAAAATTCAACTCAATAGTTTGATGAAATTCAATGACTCGCTGATGTGAATGGATATCAGATACTCGAGGAACACGAATAGGATAACCTAGGGATGTACCGGGCGGGATGTCCACTGGACAACCACTGCAGGACATCCCCTGGATGTCCCAATCATGTCCTTGTACCGCGGGACAAAAAAGGGACGTACCTAGGACATCCCTGTGTTGTTAGGGTAATGGCTGCTATCCAAATTTCTCTTCTTATTCTTGATAGATCTTCTATCTGTGGATAATGCACGGAGTTTTTCACAGAATCACATTAGGTATGTGAAAAATCTATGCAAATTTTCCCGATCTGCACGGCTTCCACTATCTATCTTTAATCATTTTCTATTCTCATGTACAATCTCCTAACAGGTATACATCAGTTGTGGTTGGGTTGTGAACCCTCTCTCCTGGGGGTGGATATCTACGCCACGAGGCCTCAATCCCAAAATGATGACCAGAGATGCAGCCCCACAACACCTCTTGCGGATGATTTCTTGCGGCTGCACGAAGGGTTGTGGGAACGCGTGCAGCTGCAGGAAGTCGGGATTTAAATGCTCATCAGTCTGCAGGCACTGCAGTGGGGCCTCTTGTGACAATGTACCTGATGTTGTAGTAGTAGATATCCCAGAAGGCAACGATCTGTCCGATGTTGATATGGAGGATGACTTATGGGCAAAAGACGTCGACGATTCATCACCATCCCCTGATGGGGATATACCATCCCAATACGTCGATCCAGATCCAGACGAACCTCAACCGGGACCTTCCAAGAGAGCTAAATTAATCAAATTTTTTGATCTCCAATCTTACTCTATTTCCTAACAAATGAACTCATTAACTTCTGTTGTACTTATCTTTTTTATTTCATTATTCGTAGCTCAGCTTGAACATTCTCGTCCACGCTCCTCATTTTCTTTCTTATCATCTCATCATGATTGCAGAAAATTGCGAAGTTCGAAAAAGATGATAAACTTTGAAAGGTTCAATTTCGGAAAATAATGAGTCTACAGAGACAGTTTTTGTATCATACTATTGTAGCAAATTTGGTCTACTTTAAGAACGTTCTGAACGAGTTTTTTTCAGAAGCTAGTCCTTTAGGGTTATAATCGCCAAAAACTGAAGAAAAAAACACGATTCTTTGGAAGTTCTTTCGATATTTGACAAAATTGCGTTCAGCGCTCACGGTCACAAACTTGGATTATTCTTTCAACATCATGAACAAGTCTGCAAAAAAATCAGAACTACCGGATTTGATTCATACTGTGATGTATAAAGTTACTGGAGAGACGTCGTTCATTCCAGATCCACTCGAAGGGCCTCAAGTTCGGCATCTACGAGGACTACGGCAACTACACGTGCGCGGGCTACCCGGGCGTGCTGGGCTTCCTGCAGCGCGACGCAGACACCTTCGCCTCCTGGGACGTGGACTACGTGAAGCTGGACGGGTGCTACGCGCATCCCATCGACATGGACGTCGGGTACCCCGAGTTCGGGTTCCACCTGAACAGGACCGGCCGGCCCATGATCTACTCGTGCAGCTGGCCCGTCTACCAGATCTACGCTGGCATGCAGCCGAACTTCACCTCCATCATCGAGCACTGCAACGTGTGGAGGAACTTCGACGATATCCAGGACTCGTGGGCGAGCGTCGAGAGCATCATCGATTACTACGGCAACAATCAGGACGTAATAGTGCCGAACGCCGGGCCAGGACATTGGAACGATCCTGATATGGTGAGCATTTTGTTTCGATTTTGTTTGAAGGTCATAGTCCTGTTTCAGTGAAAAATTTTATTTCATTATTTCGCTAACCATAACTAGTCCACTGTCTTCAACCGTTTATTCCTCAGAGCTCCATCCTTTTTCTGAATGATTATTGAAATTCACGATATTTCATGACATGAAAAACGCGGGAAAACGCGATCCTGATATGGTGAGCATTTCGTTTCGATTTTTTTTTTTGAGGTAATGGGTCTGTTTCAGTGCAAAATTGTATTTCATGATTTCGATGTACTAACCCTAACTAGTCCATTGTCTTCAACCGTTTCTTCCTCAGAGCTCCATTCTTTTTCTGAATGATTATTGAAATTCACGATATTAAATATAATAAATGAAATTTTCATAATATGAAAATAGCGGGAAAACGCGATCCTGATATGGTGAGCATTCTGTTTCGATTTTGTTTGGAGGTAATGGGCCTGTTTCAGTGCAAAATTTGATTTCATTATTCCGATGTACTAACCCCAACTAGTCCACTGTCGTGAACCGTTTCTTCCTCAGAGCTCCATCCTTTTTCTGATTGATTATTCAAATTCACTATATTTCATAACATGAAATACGTGGGAAAACGCGATCCTGATATGGGGAGCATTCTGTTTCGATTTAGTTTGAGGGTAATGGGCCTGTTTTAATGAAAAATTTTATTTCATTATTTCGATGTACTAACCTTAACTAGTCCACTGTCTTCAACCGTTTCTTCCTCAGAGCCCCATCCTTTTTCTGATTGATTATTGAAATTCACGATATCTCATGATATGAAAAACGCGGGAAAACGCGATCCTGATATGGTGAGCATTTTGTTTCGATTTTGTTTGGAGGTAATGGGCTGTTTCAGTGAAAAATTTGATTTCATTATTCCGATGTACTAACCCTAACAAGTCCACTGCCATGCACCTTTTGTTCTTCAGAGCTCCATCCTTTTTCTGAATGATTATTGAAATTCACGATATTTCATAACATGAAAAACGCGGGAAAACGCGATCCTGATATGGTGAGCATTTTGTTTCGATTTCGTTTGGAGGTAATGGGCCTGTTTCAGTGAAAAATTTGATTTCATTATTTCGATGTACAGGGTGGGCAAAATTGGGCGTTTTCACGGGCTATCTCAATAACTGAAGGAGTTATCGAAAAACCGATATACATGTTACGGGTTCGATTTTAGAGGAACCTATAATGACGCATTCGGAATTTCGATATCTTCATTCGGTTCAGAGGTACAGGGGAAAATAGAAAAATTGCCGATTTCGTTTTTCTTTTCTGAGTACCTTATTAAACAACTCAACATCATTGCCCGTACATATTTGTTTGCAATTCTACAATTTGGGTTTTAACACTTTGAACTTTTAGGAAAAAAATTTGTCATACTGTAAAAGCCATTCGAATTCCTCATGAAATCTTACAATTTTGGTGTATGCCGTAACCAGCAGATTTATATCTCTAGTCATAAAAACACCTAATAAAATAATTTATAGGCTGTGAAGAATCGTTTAGAGACGATCAAAAAATCTATTTCTTCACAATATGGCATCCATTTATATAGACTTGTTGACACGGTATGATGGGGCGATTATCGTTAATGATTACTCAAACATAATCAATTGGAAAAAATGAGCATGTGAGAATAGATTGAAAAAAAAACAAAGATTAACTGTTTTAATTAGTATGCCGAGCTTTACCTAAGCCCCAAAAGATAAATATAGCATTTCGCTTCCAGTGGTGTTTTTCTAATGAATTATTAAAAAATGCGAAAAGTTTTGCGAAAACAATCGTTTTGGAAACCGTAATGTATCCGACAAGTTCGATGATTCCGCCTGTTGTTATATGGCCCGATGACCAACGGCTATGACTATCATCTTTAACATTTCATCAATAATCTAAATTGATGCCATACATGCGGAATATAATTCGGGGTTTCATATCAATAGCTTCCAGTCTATGAATCCCAAATTTTTCCCAAATATTTTTCCTGAATCCCTGGCATACTTTTGGACCAGTTTGTTCAAAATTGAATTTACAACCATATATGTAATGTTGGTATAACGAACGAGATAACGAACGTCATTGAAGGTTGGGAAGTGTCACTTTAGACACCTCCCCAGTAAACACAAATATCCCTGGGACGTCACATCCATGTCTCGCTAGGTAACAATGCGAATTACAAGAAAACATCATTGGTATTGCCAGGGGACTCTTTATTTCACAAAACATTCGCAATATTCGTCAAATTTTATTGGATTTGAGACTTAAAATGTAGGTGAATTTGTGAGGCTCCCTGAAAACCAAGAGACTCACTGGAACCTCACATTCCCGTCTATTTATGTAACAAACGGAATCAATCAATTTTGATATTGAATGAGGAGTCGCTTGATACGTACAATGAGTAATCATTTGACATCATGAAATGACCAAAACGGTCCGAAATAGCAGTCATTGTGATTTCAGTGGGACTCTCATTTCGATTCAGTGATGTGTGGCATGAATGTGATGCCCTCCTCAATCTCTGGGATCAATCTTGGTCTACTTCCCGACCTCACTTTCTGCCCTCAGTTTATTTTTGAATTCAGCATAAAAAGTATAGTATGAGTATTCACATACCTACAAAAATTCCGTTCCGAAAACAATATTAAAACACCATTTTCAGGACATTCAACAGAATCCACCATCCCCAGGAGCAGAAACATATTTCTTTTGGTAATTTGTCGTCAAATGTATTATTTCAGGGTATGTTCAGAACGAAACAGAGATTTATTTTTTCTGATCGAAATATGATGTTGTAAATTAGGGGCCAGGTAGCCGTGCGGACAGAGTGTCAATATTCTAATCCGCATTCGCTTGCTGGTCGTGGGTTCGATTCCCATCGACTGCAGAAATTTTTTTGATGGCCCAAAAAAGTGTTTTGGGATCACATGTTAAAAGGTAAGGCCCCCGTCATTCCTTGCTCGCACAAGGCTCTCGAAGTCTTCTGAGGGTTGCTCGTAAGGGGGCAACCGAATGACGGATAGAACAATTTTACAACAACAACAACAAAATGAAATAGTATACCAACCTTGGCATGAATTTTCATTCCTGTCTTGAGATCATATAGCTAACTAACTAATCTCACGACAGGAATGAATCTCTTCCCACCTCGGTGTGTAATATACCTACTATTATTCAATTATAGGCGTCCGTAATACTCACTTTGAAAAATTCAAGGTGTAAAATTCAGGGTTAAAAAACATTCAATACATTTTTTGGAAATGTATTATTTTTTATAGATTTCAGGTGATTCTTATTGAGATTCCGTCATTAATAAGATCCCTCATTGTACCCTTTGAAATAAGAACCGATGAAAGTGGTCTAGTATAGGCCAAGATTACATTCCGAAAATGAATTTACCTTCTTATTGTTGAATAAGAATAATAAAATTCCTTCCTATCAAAGTAAATCGGGACCGATCAAAATGATTATTTTTCTAGGGTGGTAAGTCGATCCTTGTGGTGGTTACACTATATTCATTGTATGTGCAGGGCGTCTCAGATATGCAATAATATAACTTCTCTAACTTCGACGATTGATAAGAAAATTGAGAATGTTACATAGGTACTACGTGTTTTTTCGACTCGATCTCAGTGATATACAGGGTTTTTCACGATGAACGTTGATTAGACGTTTCTAGCAAACCAAGCAAGAGGTGAATCTGAAAATTTGATGGTATGTATAAATTGACATACATGATCTACACGGTTAATATATTTTGAGCAGCAACTTTGATTTTTTGAATGGAACACCCTATATATCATTGCATTTTCAGATTCTTCATGAAGAGCTGATTTCATCGATGTATCACACACTTGGGGATTTTTTGTGTCGAAACTATTCATTGAAGGTAAAAAAAACGGCTTACACAGAAACAGATACAGGGTGTTCAAAATTCTTTATCTTGAACCAACCTGTATTTGTTTCAATTGAATGTTAGTAGATTGTAGTAGTTTCAATACAAAAAGAAACCCTAAACTTGAAAAATCTCTATTCTGAACACTCTATAATATCTCTGTAATCATTCCCGGTAGACCCCAAGTGTGAAATCAGCTCCGGTTCCATTCGAAAAATCAAAGTTGTTGCTACTTTCAAGTAGAAGCGCCAACGCCGCATCGTTTGAAACATTGTATGCGTGTAGATCATATCAATTATTCCATACCACCAAATTTTCAGATTTATCTTCTGCTTAGTGTGCCAGAAACGTCTAATTAACGCTCACCGTGAAATATCCTGTATAGTTATTCAGACAGTAAAATTTGCGTAGTTTTTACTCTATAACATTACTCAAAGTGTGGAACCAAAAAAATTTTCACCAGTTGATCATTCCGAACGCACTATACCTACTTATAATAATGAATTACTAAGTTATCGCAAATTCAAATACATTTCCTTAGTCAAGCTCACCTTCCCAAGAGAAATTCACTGTTTTGACTACAACCAGAGATTAGTCATCTGTGGTTGACTAATCTCTGCTACAACTAAGTACTGAGGTTCCCACGACATTGTCGCTACCTACTTTATTAAATTCATCATCAAATAATTGGGCCATAATTGACGAGTCGCAAAAGTTACTTTTGAATTAAATTTTCCATTAGGAGCCATTTTGATTGAAGTATGCAAGTTCAACTCACACCGAAATGAATTTCAGTTCTAGCTATTGTTGAACATGGAGAGAGCAATGAATTATCGTTCGTTCGATAATTCACAAACACTCTCCAAAGACTGCAAAGAGATATACTGATGCTTGATTTGAGATTTGATCATGGTATGGTATGGAAAATATTTCCCAATAAGTTACTGTTGGTAATATTTTACGATAAAAGAGACCCACCTATAGATCATGGTGAAGAATTTTTCTAGTTTAATTTCATTAATATTTGGTTTACCTAGAAACATCTTCCTGTGGAAGTTACAAGGATGAAAATTCGTATCTC